ATGAACGCGAACTGTCGTAGTTTATTAAAGACGCAAACTCCTCACTGCACCACATCTGCGCCATCAGCAAACCTCCTAATTCCTGCAGCACCAGGAAGGATGGACAAGCGTGCTTTGGCCCGGTTCAAGTCAAATGTACATAGTGTGAGTATGCCCTTAGTTTATTCAAGTCACTTATAGCACAAGTCTTTGGTTCATGGGGGAAACCAGAGCATCTTTCTTACCTTCTTACTATAAGGCAACAGTGCAAACCACTGTGCCATCGTGCCACCCCATTAACTAACATTTACTAATGAAACCAATTCAGGCTTTTTAGAAACCATTAACTAAGACTTTTAGCTAAATAAATGACAAATTTGTAGTAAATTGTTAGTTTTTTCTTTAATCAAAAATGAAATTTTAGCATGGTTTTCTAGCTACACATACAGTTAAAAGCAAAATTAAAACCGTTTCTGTAAAATTTTAAAGAGCCCCTATTATGCATTAAAAAGGTAATATTTTAGTTTGGCGGGGAGGGGGTCTCCAACAACATGCTGATATGCATGCAAGGTCAAAAAACACTTTCATTGTTTTATAATTTGCATTTATTTTTTCCTAATTATCCCAGCGACTCCCATATGAATCGTTCAGTGATTATTTTGTTTCCAAACCCCTCCTTAGCATGATGCTAATCTGATTGGTCTGATGACCCAGTCTATAGTGATTGGTCGACTGCGTTCAGCATAAGACAGAGAGAAATGCCCAGCATGGCTTATCAACAATTCTGAAGAAGTCAGAATGCAGAGTGTATGTGTGAGCCCAATGCAGGAGTGCATTAAAGCAGTTAAACACCAGCATATTTCTCCATTCTTAACCATGACACACATTCACTATTAACCCACTGAGTGGCAAAAGCTGAACTATTTTGAAACTTGACCGCTGCACGTGTTTAGGAACAGCTGATAGTAGGAATGACAAATGGCAGAGGATTGAAAGTCACGCATTTTAATCCGTAAAAAAAGCGGCATGCATCACGTGGCTTTAGACGCAATATAAGAATATAAAGAGTTAACCAGATACAGAACAAGTGCAGATAGGTACACAGCACAAGGCTGAGGCTATAATGCTGAGGTATCAATTTCACGCTGACACTGTCAGGGTTCTGCTACTCTGGTCTTGTGAATTCTTGTTTTGGTGGCAGAGTCCGGACACTAGTCCTGTCTTGTCCTGTTTCTGTCATTGTGTTTGTCTCTGTGTGAGCGCGCGCCGTCTAGTGTTTGTGTGTTTTGTTCTGTCAGCATCGTGCTGTTTCATTCTCAGCGTCTTCGTCTAGTTGCTTTCGGTTTTGGTTGACGCTGAGATGAAGCATGCGCGTTTCATATGTGTGAGCGCATGGTAAGGTGTATCTATCTTGTGCTTGTGTCTTGCGTCTGTTGTCAAAGCATGTGGCTCTGTGTTTACATTGTGATCACGTGCTTTTGTTGTGTGCTTCAGTGTTGTGTTTGTGTTATCAGGAACATGCAGTTAATGAGTTCTCTCATTGGCTGCATGTTCTTGTCCTGTTTTATGTGAGCGTATGGCTTGTGTTGTCTGTGTCATGCGCTCTACTGTCTATTGTCAAGTCCCACCCTCCTTGCTAACCCATTATTAGTTAATTATGTTCATCTGTTTGTGTGTTAATTTACTACAGTTTATAATCCCCTCATGTCTACTGTCCAGTGCCAGTTCATCATTGTACATCACCGTATGTAACCTTGTCTTGTTGTTTGTTACCTTGTTTCAGTCCTGATCCCCGCCAGCCTTCCACGCTAGTTTGTTTTTATTGTTTATTTGTTTTATTAGTGTTTTTCCCCCTCGGGGTTGTTTATTTTGCCTTTTATTTTATTAATAAAAAATATTTATTCACTCTGCAATTGGGTCCTCGCTCCTTTTTCCCCTTACCAGACCGTGACAGACACACCTAAAGACTTGTTACGATGACGGTTCATTTGAACCTCTCTAAGTCGACTCTTTTATAAATAAATCAATAATTTTAAACCCTGTCCACTTTCAGATTTAAGCCTTAACTGGATATTTCACTTCACCAAGTGCTGTGTTATACACTTCATGAAAGGTCCTTTTCAAAAACCCATAATAGGGGTTCTTTAATTCAAATATTTACCAAGTGGTGTTTTACAAAGCAAGGGCATTTTCACATTATTTTCATTTAGTTTGGCTGGAATTAAAGCACTTATTGAAACAATTTTTAAGGTAAATATTATTAGCCCCCTTTCTTTGTTTGTTTCCTCTGACTGGCTACAGAACTAGCTTTATTTATAGAGCTATGGTCTAAATTATTGTTAATGTGCATAAAAAACATCACCCTTGGCTAGAAGATAGAGTATAGTGGTTCTATTCACAGAGCATTTGCCTTGCTTTATATAGAGAGCTATTCACTTTCTGCATTTAATTTGTTTTTGTTTTGAGTAGTACATGACATGTCCAATGAACTTGATAATAAGGAAATGAGAGAAAAGATGTACATTCCATCTATATCCATGACTTTGAAGTTAAGTAAAGTTAAAGAAATACCACAATCTTTGGTATTTAGCTTATTAAGAACAGGATATTACGTTTGTAGCACTGAAATGTTGACGTCTCCCATTCATTTCAGTTATATCAACAAGCTTTGAATTAACATTTAATGATTTTCCGTGTCATTGACTATGTTTACATGCTAATTTTAATACTGTTAAGACAATACTCTGATTAAGAGTCTACTAGGTAAACAGTAATTTTTGGATTAATTTTATCTGAATTAGGTCATTATCGAACTAAACAGAAATCATGTAAGATGTGGAGTACGTCGAGTTTAGTCGCATTATTGAAGTGCAGTACAGACATGTAAACACCTTAATCAAACTGTTACCGTCGTGTAGGATTTCCACCGCATTTTGCGACAGGATAATCTATACAAAGTTTGACACTATTCTCTGGACCTACTGAGTCGATAAAGGACCACAGACACCTGCATCGCGAAATGCTTAGTTTTTTTTATTAATACGGCATGCATTATCAAATTTGATTAAAACTACACTCTTCCTGCAGTTCCAGCAGAGGCATGCACGAAATGTTCCAAAATGAAAGTGAAAGTGCCAAACTACAGTGAAAGTCGACAAATTAAAAATGAAACTCCCAAAATTACATAATACTCTGGAGGAAATGTGGATAGCGTGATAATGCAATGATGTTAATTAAATATGTGCTACAACACGTAAAACAGTATCATGAAAAAAACATTCAAAAAGCAACTCATGTAAACACCATAATCATATTATTGTCTCATTTAGATTAAAGCAAATAATTTGATTATTAATGTCCATGTGAATGTAGTCAACGTTGATGCTAAATATGCTACTTTTGTTACTATTGCATTCATATGATTCAGTTATATAATTCTTTTAGGTTAATTGGGTAAGCTAAATTGTCTGTAGTGTATGTGTGTAAATAAGTGTGTAAGGATGTTTCCCAGTGATGGGTTGCAGCCGGAAGGGCATGCGTTGTGTGAAACGTGCTGGATAAGTTGGTGGATTAATGAAGGGACTAAGCTAAAAAGAAAATGAATGAATGAATGTTCTTTTAAATGATTTAAAAAACAAAACAAACTTACAAAAAAGCCAAACAGGCTGAATCGAGAAAAAAAAAAAATGTGCAAAAGTTGTAACTCGATTACTTTTCTCTTCTGCCGCCATTATGTTCTTACATACGGAATGGTCAGTTAAGATCATATATTAAGATAAACAAGTTTTACTTGCATAATCAGGTAATATTTCAATGTTTTTTTTTTCAATAAGCCTCTTTTACTCACCAAAGCTGCCTTAATCTAATTAATACTATTTAAATATATTTTAAAATGCAGTTTATCCATGTAATGCTAAAGCTACATTTTTACCATCACTCCAGTCTTCAATGTCACATTATTCATGACGTTTTAATAAATATTCAGTAACACTTTATTTTATCACAAGACAAACTAGTAACTAGGCATAGCACAACAAACGGTTTCAAGGTTTTCCGTGGTTTGGAAGGTTTTAAAACCACCAACATTTTCTATTATAATGTTTTAGTATGGTAAATTAAATTTTTTTTACGATTATTTTATTTAGCTTTTTTAGGACAACAGTATTTGCACATCAAAAGCTAGTGGTCAGCCCACGATTCAGCAAATAACTGAAAAACAAATAGCTTAAAATCAACATCCATCATGCTATATGCTGAGCAGTGCAGTGGCTTTACTTTATATCCAAAGAAAAGAAAGATCTCCAAAGGTGAAACTATTGATGAAACTTTGGAAAATACGATCAAACTGTAAAATTGTGAAATACTATTTAAATACATGTGATGCTAAGCTACATTTTTACTATCACTCCAGTCTTCAGTGTCACATTATACTTTAAAAAACCTTGCTTGTTTAACATTTCTCACTATTATCAATGCTGATGAAACTAACTTCATTTAAAATTAATAAAAACAGCAGAGGTCAATCATTTCAATTATTTAGTCTGACATGTTTACTGTTCCAAAATATTTTAAATGCTTATTAAAATTAAAAATATATTGTGTTCAATAAAGAATAAAAAATAGTTGTTGACATTTAGAAATAGAACATATTAATCACTATACCATACAATTGTGCTATTTTTATCCGATGCTATCATACCGTCAGAATCTTACATCGGCCCATGCCTACTATAAACTACAAGCTTACTACCTGCTTATTAATAAGACGATAACTGTGTTTTAGTACTTTCAAAGTAAGATCTTATTCTACATCCTTATACTCAATTCCTAAATCAAATTACTGTCTCACTAACTATTAATAAGTCGCTAACTAGTTTACTGAGACAATAATTAGTTAATGGTTTTTTTATAGCCTGAGTTGCACAATAAAACAAAGTGTTTCTAAATATTCAGAACATATAAATAATTACAGAACATAACTAATTTAAAGTAACATTTTTGAGGTATAAAGCAGCACCTACCTTAAAGTTGTGTATCTTCTCATAGTTACAGTGTTTCTCTGGTCCATCTTTGAGTGTGGTCCGTCTGCTCAGCGGCGATGGGCTGATCTGTGAACAAGCCAAAATCTTTAGAGGTTTCCAGAGAAGAGCACCCCTGCTGCCCAGATTCACGCCCAGAGCCAATGCCAACAACTCCTGGTGCTTGCGCTCCTTCTGCTTGGCTTTGTGGGGGGCTAATTCACCTACTGCCGACCCCATAATGCCACCAACTTGGGCTCTGGCTTTGGGAAGAGCCTGCATCTCCTCTGTGGAGGAGGATGAGTATGATGTGGAATGAAAGCAGCAGCTGAGTTTGTCCTGCAGTGTTTGGCCTATGTGGGCTGAATGAGAAGCGGGACAGTGTGGTCCTGCATTAGGCAGGGCTGGGGGTAGGGGGTGTGTTGGGTGGGCTGCCTGGGGGCAGGAGTGTGTCTCTAAACAATAGCACACATTCAGCACTCTGAGAGAAGGGCAACATGAGAAGAGACTGTGTCAGCCTTGTAGAAACATCACAGCAGGCTTCTGGAGTGGAATCGGTAAAATCTCGATCACTGCAGGGTCACTGTAGTTAACCTAAAACTTTTATCCACCCCAAAAAGTAAAAATAGTTTGAAAATAAACATAAGTTGTGTTGTTTAGCCAAGATTTATAATTTTTATTCATACTAACTTAATACATAACTGCCCATGCCCATAGCTTGAAGACCCACTCCTCACTGACAAAAGTCCAGTATTTGTCCTATACACGAGCTTATTTGTCCTATTTATACTGCTACGCCACTATAATTTGTGAAAATAACCCTGTGAAAAAGCGTACATTTGGAGACCGTGGATGTCCCTTCAGTGTGACTTGAGAAAATCAGTTTTGACCAAAATTTTTCATGAGTCAAACATCCAGCTATGCAAGAAAACAAAATCTGATATGAAATCTTTCACTGCTGACCTACTGTATTGTATTTAAATAGAGAAAACTATTTACAAGTGACTTTTATTCTAAATCTTGGACCGTATTCTTGAAACAAAAAATGACCAATAAAAAGGTGTAAAGCACAGAAATCGGACCATTTTCAAATGACTTTAAATAATAATTTGGCTAATTTTGTTATCCATGATTTTTCAAATATACCTTTGAACAAAAGAGTCTAGAAAAATTATGATGCTCTACATTATTATTATGTTTTAATAATAATATTTTATTTCTTATTAAAATGCCCAGATTCTGAGGAAAGTTGAGTGTGCTAGCCAGGGGTGTGTTTCCCAAACAACGACATAACTCGTGGCTGAACTATCATAGTACTATGCATCGTTTGGGAAAAAACAATGTAGTGGCAAGTGTTTCCCAAAACTCTAATTTCTTTGTCGTAGACCCATCGTTTAAACTACGTTAGTTATAATGTAAAACACCCACAATAATGCTCTAAACAAAGTGTAGTGACTAGTTGTTTGGAGAAAAACCCCATGACTTTTTTGTGCACATTATATTGTTTTACACGCACACATATAAAAAAAAAATCCAATATTAGTTTTCGTAAAAACATGCACTCACTTTTCATATTAATTAAATATATGTCAACAAGACATATAAGGCCCATGTTTCCATTACAAATATTATTGAGAATAGTTCATAGTCTATTCATTCATTCATTTTCTTGTTGGCTTAGTCCCTTTATTAATCCGGGGTCGCCACAGCGGAATGAACCGCCAACTTATCCAGCACGTTTTTACACAGCGGATGACCTTCCAGTCGCAACTTATCTCTGGGAAACCTCCACACACACATTCACACACTATGGACAATTTAGCCTACTCAATTCACCTGTGCCGCATGTCTTTGGACTGTGGGGGAAACCGGAGCACCCGGAGGAAACCCACGCGAACGCAGGGAGAACATGCAGACTCCACACAGAAACGCCAACTGAGCCGAGGATCAAACCAGCAACCCAGTGACCTTCTTGCTGTGAGGCGACAGCACTACCTACTGCGCCACTGCTTCGCCCGTCTATAGTCTATTCTAAAACATAAAACCACTTACAAAAAGCTAACACTGTCATGTCATATATAAATCATCACGGTAATGGTTTTAATTTATAGGTATTATGAAATAACAAATATACAATTTTAAGTAGTCTTTTTAAGTAGTCAAGTAGTCTAACTTTTACAACTTTGACACATTCAAACCACTGCAGAAAGGTTCTATCATAGGCCCAATACAGTTCATATTATTTCTTTATAAATAGATTAAGCTATTATAAATAAAAGCCATTAACGTAACCTATATATCTTTGTTTTTCCGAGCTTTAGTGATAATGCAGATTCTGCTTTCCATAGGTCACCTACAGTGCATCCGGAAAGTATTTATAATGTATGTATACGTAACAGCCACTAAAGTGCCACTCTGTAAAAAAAAATCATAAAAAAATGTCAAATGACTGGCAGCTCCGGCTGCCAAACAAAAACCATAAAATTACGGTAAAATGTCTTTGTTGAAATAAAGTGCAAAAAATAATAAATCTACAGATATTTTCATTAAAATTTTTACAGAAAAACACTGTTATTTTACAGACTTTTCCTAGATTATTACGATCAAATCTGTTCAATAAAAGTATACACTAAGAGTTTTACAAAGAAACACTGTTATTATACAGACTTCTCCTAGATTATTATGATCAAACATCATCAATAAAGTGACTGCACTAAAAGTTCAAGAGAAAACAATATTATTTAAAAGAATTTTTCCTAAATCATTACAATTAAACACCTTTAATAACATGCCAAGACATGCTCATGATCGTACTGTAATTTAACAGTTTTATTTTGGATCAAAAATTTTTGGAAAAAACAACAAACGACATACAACTGATTAAAATTCTCACAACTTTAAAATTACAGTTGTTACATTTTATTGAATAGTGTTTATGTAAAACATGTAGAGGTTTAAGTTATATGGAATGACTCAGTTATAGATCTTAAATGAAATAGAACTGTAACATGAAGGGGATGCTGACAAATGAGTGCAGATCCAAAGGCAAGCAACAGTCAACACAGGGGCAAACAGATGTAACATTTTGCAGGGAATCCAGAGTCATGGTCAAATAACAGGCAAATGGTCAGTCCCGGCAGCAAACAACGTAAACAATTAGAAACAAAGCAAGGCAAAAGAAGAGAAACGCATCATAATGTTCACAGTAGCAGTACAACAAGACTAAGCAATTGGTGCGTGCATCTGTGCTGCTTTTAAAGTGCATGTAATCAGTTCATAACGATCCTCCGACTGTGTGTGTGCAATCAGCGGAATCCGGAACAGGTTTATGTGAGCACTCTTAGTGTGTTACTTTATTAAATGGATTTGATAGTAATAACCTAGGAAAAGTCTGTAAAATAACAGTAACTGTAAACATTTTAATGAAAATATCTGTAGATTTATTACTTTTTGCACTTTTTTTCAACAAAGAAATGTTACCTTAATTTTACCTTAATTTTACCTTTTTTTTACCGATTTATTTTTTTTTTTTACAGAGCAAGTAATTACAATTTATTACTTTAATTTTACGTAATTTTAAATGTACTTAAGACAGGAAAAAAACACTGTAAATAATATGTCAATTTTTTTGTAAAAAACAGACAAATTGCTGTAATTTGTCATTACTTATATAGTACATAAAATAACAGTCAAGCCGTTAATTTACAGATAATGATTGTGATTTTTACGAACTTTTGAATATGACTTAAAATAACAGAAAAAATACTTTATAAATAATACTGTAATTTCCCTGTATAAAAAACACAAATGTCAGTAATTTGTCTTTAATAATGAAGTACCTAAAATGAAAGTCAAACGGTTAATTTAGAGAGATTGGTTGTCATTTCACTAAGTTTTGAATATAATGTGAAATGACAAAAAATTACAGTAAAAAATTTAAGGATGTTTTCTGTAAAATTAGTTTTTTTTTTTTACAGTGTAAGAGAGAAGGTTTTAATTGTTTTTTTTTTAATCATTCTGAGTTTAAATCTTGCACGTTTGAAAGGAATAGGGCATAGGATGATAACTGGGAATAGAAAACAGCCAGGAACTATGTTTCTAACTACAGCTCTACAGGTTTCATTGCAAATGTACAGGTATGAATTTTCATTGGAATTGAAAAACATCCAATCAACGAACTATGTTTGTAACGACGGAACTTGCAAACTTAGTTGGCTAACGATGGTTTTTGGAAACGCACCCCAGTTTGGTACGTTTTGCGTTTATTTGCCTAGTAAATGACAATAGGATAATTTAAAACTTTATTAGAATTGTTTTTTTTTTTTCTAATATGATGTAATAAATTTGTATTTTAAAAATAAGTATTTATTCATATTTCTTTATTTTAAATCTTTAGGAAATACTTTTGGTAGATCAAAAAGTACAGTTATGATGACTGCTCGACAAGCTTATCTAACTAAAAAATAGTGCTTAATGTCACAAAAATGTAGCATTTAAATCTCATAATTAAATAGAAAATGAGGACAATAACTGCAGAAGTAGACTTTTTGAGAAAAAAGAACCACCCCTTTCAGCAGGCTGGCAATGGGAAATCTGTTTAACAAATATTAATTCAAATAACAGTAAAGTATGCAACAAACTGTACTAAAAAATACACACTTGAACGGTTTCCACACAAAATTATGAATTAAAAGAAAAATTTGAATATCTAATAAATGAATGAATGAATGAATGGATCAATCAATCAATCAATCAATGGATCAATCAATCAATCAATCAATCAATGGATCAATCAATCAATCAATCAATCAATCAATCAAGGAATGATAACGATAATTTCATAGGCTCATTCTGAAAACGTAGCCTTATATACATTTCTGGAGATTGTGAGTTATGTAGCCAGAAGTACGTATGGCTGCATTTAATTTTTAAAACGAATGCTACTGGCCGGTGTGACGTCATTCCTTTTCACGCCTACAAGTTGACTGCTTACCTCCATAAAGACGGCTTTCCCACTGTTACCAGTTTGCCCAGTTAGCTCACTATGTAGTTGGTGGACTTAAGAAGCATAAAGGAGATGACCACATCGA